AGAAGTCAGAAGTTTAAAATTTCAATATATCCTCAATCTCGACATCACGATAGTTCTATTATCTACCCAGAAGTTAGAAGTTAGAAGTTCGAAATTTCAATATATCCTCAATCTCGACATCACAATAACTCTATTATCAACCTATAAGTCAGAAGTTCAAAATTTCAATATATCCTCAATCTCGACATTGATAGCTCTATTCTCGACTAAGAAGTCAAAAGTTCAAAATTTCAATATATCATCAATTACGACATTAAGATAGCTCTATTCTCGACTAAGAAGTCAAAAGTTCAAAATTTCAATATATCATCAAGCTCGACATCACGATAGCTCTATTATTGACCCAGAAGTCATAACTTCAAAATTGTAATATATCCTCAATCTCGACTTCATGATAGCAGTCAAAAGTTCGAAATTTCAAAATAACCTCAATCTCGACCGCAATTATCCCTCAATATGATTGACCTCGAGCGATGAACAAAAATCAAAACCAAAGCCACAAGCATTCATAGCAGCAGCAAAACAGAGCAACAATATCAAAACATAACTAAAAGAAAACTTCATTTCAAACTATGCTTCAACTATATATACATTTGAAAAGGGAAACAGAGCAAAGAGAAGAAGAAACCCACCTAGAGTTACAATTACGGAGCATACAAAATCTCATAGCTCCGAGAATTTGCACAATCCATTTGATTTTCTTCCATATCCAATCGAACCGGGCTCCGGCAAAGGGGGCAAGCAGAAACCCTAACCAACCACGAATCGATGCACTTCCGGTGATAAACATGGCCGCACCCACCAAGTTTTCTACACCACTGACCTTTTCTAAACCCACCAAGGCAAATAGGGCAGTCAATTTGGGAGTGAGGGTTGACCCAATTGGAGAATCGAAACTGGAGGAGCTTTTTGAGGTCACGATTAGAGAACCCAGATGAGGAATCGGTGAATTGGGAACGGTGGCGATGGCGGCGTCGGCGGCGGCGATGAAGGACGCTAGCGACGCAGGGGTAGATGAGGAGAAGGGCAGTGGCGAGGCCGAGGAAGACGAAGAAGAGGGTGGTTAAGACGATCATAATGGAGACCTTGAGGAGCAGAGATAGGACTTTGGCCTCTGGCTTAGGCGGTGGTGGGTCGCCGGCGTTGGCGGCGGTGGAGTCTTGAAGAGGCATGATGCGGTGGGTGGGGAGTGGAATTCGGGGGAAATGTAAAAGAGAAAGATGGGGATTGTGATATGGTTGAATGATGTATGAGTTTTTGAAAAAGGGTATGGAAATGGAAACTATGGGCTTTTGAGGGTTCTTGAAAGGTGTGGGAGGTAGGGCCATTGATTCTGATCTTTAGATATTTAGGATACAATTCACTTCAATCTAGTCTTTTTTTACTAAGAAAATGTTAAATTTGTAGTGGCAGGATAAGGAATATGTTGAATAATGAGACGGGACACGTGTTCGAGTATAGTTAAAGCTAAAAGTTAGAGTATATTTAGTCCTCATCAGCATGCACGGTTCGATCTAATTTGATTTCAGCCAATGACAAAGGATCAGGTTATGTTGATCTTTTGGAGCGATATTTAAGAAGGGTCGTTACTCTCTTCATATGCCTTGTGTTACGGTCATGCCCATTCAAGCCGTGTTGCCCATGGCAGCATGCCATGTCACGCTGAACCCTATAGGTTATATTGTCTTACTACTGTAATTTTCTGTTTGTATTACTACTTGGCGAAATCATGTCTAGGTTTGCTAAATCACATCTAGGTGTGATGGATGCGACTAGTCGTCAAATTCTTCATCCCATAAAGTTATAAGATATTTAAGTGGTTGTGTTGCGTTTTTGCTTATAACGTTGCTTTATAGTCTTCTTATATTCTTACTTTCAAACTCGCTTTCGAAAATCTCTCTGCCATCTAACTGGGTTTGGGTTTAGTCATTGTGCTTCTACCCCACGTCTTGTCAAAGTAGGTTGTTCGGTAGCAAAATAATACTGTCATCTGTTCATGGATATTTTGATGCTTGCTTCTTGCTTCATGGTTATTTAGGACACTTATGTCAAGCATTCACGATCCGAGTTCGATCATTATGTACTGATACTAAGATCTAGTCTAAGGTCGAGTCTTCTCCTTTCATTTCGTATATTAAAGGTAAATGGTTTTTGTTCATATATTAAAGTCTTCTCCTTTCATTTTGTATATTAAAGGTAAATGGTTTTTGTTCATATATTAAAGATAAGAACTTACCGTGTTCTCAAAGGTTAAAAAGGTGTTAATGTTATTTTTGAAAGTTCATGAGTATTTTTAAAACGTAGTACTAACGTGAATATCCATATATCACCGGTAAGATTATTTTTTAACTTTTAAAAATGGTTTAAGGGAATTAATGGAACTTTGAAAGCTCAATGTTATTTTTTAAATAAAGTATAGACGATTTTCATCCAAAACTAACCAGTGATAGTATTCTTTAGAGCAAGGATATTATTGCAATATTTAAAAGTTAGTATTTTTTAGATAAAATACCAAGTTTAAGGGTAATTTTATTAATTTAGCCTATATATAATTATGCATCGAGTTTACCGGTTAATTTGACAATCTTATTCAATTTTTCAATGTGTCGTTATCCCTTCAAATGGATATTAGACCTTCCATTTATGTTATGCTATATTATGGCATGTCCCGTCATATTCATCTTCAAACGTCATTAATTTAAAATGTGACAAAGTTGATTTTATGAAATCTAGACTTATTGTCTCTTTTCATTTGCATTATATACGCATCACTATAACAATTAATTTCGTGCATTTATAAGTCTCGCTATATGGTTGGTTATGATTCTCCTAGTAACTTTTGCCAAAATAATTCATCTCCTTCGACCCATTATTATAACAATCTAAGCCCACCGATAGTAGATATTATTCATTTTGGCCTATTACATATCGTTGTCAGCCTCACGGTTTCTAAAATTCGTCTACGAGAGAGAAGTTTACACACCCTTATAAGAAATGCTTTGTTCACCCCTCCAACCATATGGGCTCTCACAATAGATGCATTTTAAAATCGTGAGACTAATAACGATATATAACAGGCCAAAACGGACAATATCTACTAGCGGTGGGCTTCAACTGTTACACATGGTATTAGAGTCCGACATGGGGCGGTGTGTCAGCAAGGACACTGGCCCCCAAGAGAGATAGATTGTGAAATCTCACATCAGAGAAGAGATTAATATGATTTGTGAAGCATAGACAGGAGTCGTCCTCATCCTATCAGCTACTGAGAAAAATTCTCGAAGATTAACTTCAAAAATACGAATTTTGGTAAAACAATATGATATATTATAAACTTTGTATATACAAATATGTTATATACTTGTGGAGTAAGAAAATTTTAATCGACGGTTATTCTAGTATAACTTGATAGATAGAACATGAGTTATGTTATAATAAGTGACCGACAATCGTCAGCTAAAATATGGTAGAGGTTTTTGTTTATTTATTGTCTGATGGTAAGTTTGGTGGGACAAATAAAATCTGAAATTGGCTATTTCACCTGCCTTCCATTGGTTACTTTAAATATCCTCTGAAAAATTTAATGTAAGAGTCACCCTTCCTATTGTATTATTTCTTTTGCCAATGGACCATATTCTCAATTCAAAATATTTACTTAATATGAACAAAATATTATTGTACAAAAATATTCCCATCAATTTGGGGTATCTTATTTTCTTCCATATTCTTCTATATGTGTGTGTATATATACACGTCATTAAATTTGAAGTGTTTTCGAGACGGGTTGAAAATGAAAAATATAACAGTTCAAGTCCACCACTAGCAAATTTTGTTCGTTTTGACCCGTTACATATCGTCGTCAGTCTCACGAGTTTAAAACGCGTCTATTAGGAGGAAGTTTCCACTCTTACAAAAAATGTTTTGATTTCCTCTCCAATGGAGGTAAGATCTCACAATCCATCTCCCTTGGGGGCTAGCGTCCTCGTTCCCTCTCCAACCGAGGTAATATCTCACAATCCATCCACCTTGGGGATCAACGTCCTCTCTGGCACACTACCCGATGTCTGACTCTGATACTATTTGTAACAACCCAAGCCCACCGATAGCAGATATTGTTCGCTTTGGTCCGTTACTTATCGTTGTCAGCCTCACCGTTTTAAAACGAGTCTACTAGGGAAGGTTTCTACATCTTTACAAAGAATATTTCGTTCTCCTCTCTAACCGATGTGGGATCTCACAATCCACCATTTTGGAGGTCCAATGATGTTTTGTTCCTCTCTATCCGATGTGGAATCTCACAATTCACCCTCTTTGGGGGCCAATATCCTCGCTGGCACACCCCTTGGATACGTTTCCACATTCTTACCAGGAATGTTTCATTCCTCTCTCCAACCAATGTGAGATCTCACAATCCACCATTTGATGGTCTAGCGTCCTCACTAGCACACCGCCCTGTGTTTGGCTCTGATACTGTTTGTAACCGTCCAAGCCCACCGTTAGCATATATTATCCGCTTTGGCTCGTTACGTATTATCGTCAGCCTCACGGTTTTAAAACGAGTCTACTAGGGAGAGGTTTTTACACACTTATAAAAAATGTTTCGTTTTCCTCCTCAACTGATGTGAGATCTCACGTAAAAGATCTCCTCTATATATACACACACACTCAAACACCATCAAATTCAATGTGTTCATGGAATGGAGCGAGGATAGGAAAAGTCTCCTATTTTAATCCCCATCTTCATGGAAAATTATTTTCGAGATGATCGAGCAAAGATTCCCACAAAAAATTCATGTGTTGAGATTTGGGTGGAGACAGGAGTAGCTAAGGAGGAAAAACTTTTCTCCACTTCCTCCCCCATTGCCCGTTTAGTTTCACACCCGATACAAGCCTCCGTACCTCCCATCTCTATCGGTTAAATGGACATTATCCAAAAAAACAAACATTATATTTGATTAAAAACATTAACAAGAATATCCTTAAAAAAAAAAAACATTTTTACTTTCCAACTACTTGATCATTCAAAAATTTAAATCCAAACAGAATTACAAAATGAATCACACAGAACAATCAGCGTGATCATCATTGGTTGAAAAAGATGAATGAACAATCCTACTGTTCTTCGTGTTCTTCCCTATCACCCACTGCAACGTCCTCCTCACAAACGACCGCCGATTCTCAACACATTCCAAACTATTTCTCCTCCGATACTCTTCCTCCGCCATTCCCATCCCATTTTCCGATCTGGGTTGGTTCGTGCCGCCCACCTTCTCTTCGACGAAGCTCTCCTTCAAGCTCCCATGGCGAAAGCTCTCAACTTTCTCATTCAATTCTGTAAAGTTAAACTCTCGCCTCGATTCGCAGTCGCACTCCGACATCGCCGCTAGACTCCCCGGCATCAATGGCAGATTCCTCTTCTTCCTTGCTGCTTTCCTCACCGCTGGCGTCCTGATCGGAACTTGCAGAGACGAATTCTCATCCATTACATACCCAAATGACCCCATTGAAAAACACCTTCTCGAATCAACTTTCCCATTGTTGCTACTCCCTTCTCCATTACTCTCCAAGCTTTTAAACTTCCCCAATTTTATAGGAACCACCGTCTGCTCCGCCGCCGCAGGCGGCGGCGGCGGCTCATCTGGCTTCATTTCAGCAAAATCCAACACATCCCCAAGAAAACCCAGAAAGGAACCGGTTTGAATTTCCCCAATTTCTCTGGAGCTATGACTTACAGAGTCAAGAACTCCAACAATTTTGGAGGGGAATCCGACATCTGAAATCAAGCCGGCACGGCAGAGGGGACATGTCGAGTGGGACAGAAGCCACGTGTCGATACACTCCATATGAAAAGCATGGCTGCATTTGGTCAACAATCGGAGTTTATCGTTGGGTTGAAATTCACAGAGACAAACAGAGCAATCAAAAGGGTCTAATTTCAGGCCGATTATGGCTTTGTAGAGAAAAACAGGGAGGGTATCGATGAAGGATTGGTCGACGCCGGCATCGTGGAGGTGGAAGAGCTGCTGGAGTTGGCCTTGGAAAGCAGAGGCGCCGCCGCCGGCGGTATCTTCGGGATCTGTTCTGATTTGGGCCTTGAGGAAGAATCGGAGAAGGAGGAGGAGGAGGGCGGAGAAGAAGAGGATAATGGAGAGGATGATTATGGCTATGAGAATTGTGGGGCTTACTTGGTTGTCAAAGTTGAAATCCGGCGGCGGTGGAGGCGGTGGAGGTGGCGGCAGAGAAATGGGGTTTGAGAGAATGGCCATGGATGAAGGTTAGAAGGTGGAGAAGATGAAATTAAAGTATTTAGGTTGAAGAAGAGGGAGAGAAATAAATGGTGCAATGACTGATACCAACAAAAAGATCAATGATTGGAAGAAATTAATTGAAAATCAGAGAACAACTAAGAAAACCTTGGTTAATTTGACCGTTTGATTTGAATTATATATATAATTTAATTGAGGTTATGTGTATTTTTTTGTTTTTTCTCATATGTTGAGGTTGGCTAGTTAGAATTTGATCCCTTCAAATAGATATGTCTGTTTAATCTGCGGGTTGGAGTTTTATAAAGAACTGCTTCGATTTTCGAAAGTAAATGAAGAGTTTTGCAAAAATGGAGATTGAAAAATATGGTAGGGATGGGGTTGAGGAAGACTTCCTCGTCTAAGCCCCTTATGGCAGACGTCTCTACCTTTAAATTAGGAAATTAGGTAAGAATTTAGTGACTCAAAGAATTCGAACAACCAAACCTAACTCGCACGACTGGAGATTGAAAACGTGTTTGCTAGGGAGATGTTTCCACACAAACGAGGTTTTGTTCGACGCTTGCACTCGTTCCTTTCTCCGATCGATGTGAGACCCCCGACCAAATTCGAGTGTTTCATTCTCCTACCCAACTGATGTGGAATCTCACAATCCACTCCCCCTCCCCTTTAGGGCTTATCGCCCTTGTTGTCACTCATTCCTTTCTCCAATCGATGTGGGACCCCACCAAATCCGGGTGTTTCGTTCTCTTCCCCAACCAATGTGGGATCTCACAATCCACCTCTCCCCCCCCCCCCCCC